AAGACCATATAACTGCAGCTGATATTGTACCCTTACATGGTGCTTTGGCATAGGCGCAACTAGCTCAATTGTTTTGGGAGGACTAGTCCCACAAGTCCCACATATTTTTATAAATTTTCAAAAATATAACAGAGGGGCTTCTTCATAAAAAATCATACTGTGTTAAATTCATTAAATTAACTTCATACAAATACTAACAAAAACTTGATAGTTTATTAATAATGTTTTACATAACTTAATAACTAAAAACAATACAAAATAATTTATTTTAGCACAATCCTTCGGTCTTGTTCCGCAAATTTATTAACAATTACTTCAGAATCAATTTTGTTTGATAAATCCCTTTCAATGTTTAATAAAGCTAAAGAACTAAAACGATCTTCAGCCATGGTGGTTCTGAGCCAAGTCTTGACCCTTCTCATTGTACTAAAAGATCGCTCGCATGTAGACGAACTAACTGGGATTGTTATAGCAAGTTGTAAATGTTTATATAGATTTGGATACACTGATTGGTTTACAGTACTAATAATGTCAGGTAATTCAAATGTTATATCACAGTGTTGCTACTAACAAATACAAATAAAAACCAAGACGTATTATAAAAAAAATTGTTTTGTGAAAATACTTCAACTGAAGAACATTTTTCATACATTGTTTCGTAAATAAGTATTTACTATTTTTCAAGAACAAAAAAATTTTAAAAGTGCTGAAAATTTTTGGGGGGACTAAGTCCCCCCAAGCCCCCCCTTATTTGCGCCACTGTGCTTTGGGTTGTTCCGTACAGACTTATATTGTCTTCCTCAAAAACCACTATTTCGATAATATGTCCTTCGATTTTTGAGAATAATTTCTGAACGTCTGCGTCACTCTGGGTTCTGGCAGGCGATGACATGTCTCGCGGTGTACTCTTTATTTACTGCGTATCGCAAAAGGTAAGTTTAAAATATGAAATTTGATAGTATAATAGTACTAAAATAAAAATCCTACGATTTCAAGACACAACTTGTAACACTGGACGGGTAAATAAAAAGATGACCTATCGTTTCGTCAATATGACAGACAACTTGCTATATATAAATATAATAGATATTTTATACTATGCAGTACCTTTATAGTATAGTATTACACTGTTACGGTGTGTATACATCTCGTCTCGGACGTCGGTCTTAAATAAACGCTAAACGGACTTGCGGCGATCGTAACAATAATAATGATGATAATACGATGACGACAGTGAATAATAATAATAATAATAATACCTACTATACACACCCCGAACAGTGCTAATAATTATTATTGTTTCTCGAGTCCACTTGCGGTTTTGCGAGACGGGTTTGCAATAACAAAACAGGTATACCGCTGTACAGGTATACACTTGTTCGATTCTCACCGACGGAGCCTTTACTGGCGGGCATATACTCTGCAGAAATCTCGAGACGACCCGGCCGAAAAAGCCAATGTTTTATGGGCGATTCGCCCACGCCCGAGGTGGATAAACAGCCCCAGCTGCGACCCCTCCGAGCAGATATACCTTGAAATAAATATCACGTGGGTATCTTACTGTTCTCCACGCCGTTCGCCTTTGATGGGTATACGACGACGGAGGAAACCATGATTCAACCACCTCTACGACCAACGACCGATTTAGCCTAACGAAATAATCATACTCGTTGGTACTACAGTACTTATCCAGTTGATCGACGTAGAATACTTACAGAGATATTATAACATTACGGTATAAGTTATTGTTTAAACATTTAAAAAATAATATGTCTATAACTCGATAATGTTATCGTTTAACCTATAGTCTCCATCAGATCGTACCATAACGAGAAATGTTTTGCACAAAACGTTTACCTACCTACCTATAGTGAAACAATCACTTATTATTTTAACGATAGGTACTATTTCGCCCTTAACAACTATACAACTTTTAATAAATATGAACTATGATGACGTCTGCGAATTGGTATAAGTAAACGAATACGAAGTTCTCATATATCAATGGATTATATTATTATGATATTAAAACTCGCCGTACTAAATATTTGTATAATATTGTTAAACATTCGTTAAAATTCTAAATTAAAATAAAGTATATAAATGGAATCGTCAGAATTTTAATGAAACTAATAATTATTTAACGTTAATGTGTTAATCAATTCAAAACTCTCTACAGTTTGTTTAAAATTAATTAAATTGTTAAAATTTATGATAATTGATAAATAGTTAAACAAAGTTACGAAGTGAACCAATAATAATAATGTGTTAAACGTTATTTAAATATGAAAAATATATGACGAGAATTAAGAATTTAAAAGTCTATAAATCGAGTTTCGCTAATTGTTGTAATTTATTATTTAAACATTTTGTACTTAATATAGATTATAAGAAAAAGTAAAATGTATTTTGATATTTATTTTTTAGACAGAATATGAGAATTCTAAGTAGAATGATTTAAGAATTATGGCTTACTAGCAGTCAGCAGACAGTTCAATTTACTTTTTAAATCTATTAATCTTCTATAAATTACTGAGAATACTTCGAATTGTATTTTAGTCTATTGAACATTTAAGCTCATTAACTACAGTAAACAATAAAGAATACATGTACTATACCTATATATTATATTATTAATTATGAGTTTACTAGTAATAATTCCTTTTCTATCATTTAGACGACTAAAATATAATATGTAATATATATTATACAATGTATACGAGTGTTGAGACATGGAAATTAAAAGTATCTATACATTTAGCATAATATATATATAGTTTTTATTATTTTATCCCATTTTATTTTATTCGAAATATATATAATATTTATTTATTAAATAATTTTTTTCCGCTGTAGGACAAAAATAAAATATAGACAGAGTTAAAAAAATGTATGTATGTAATATAATAATATGGTAGGAAAATTTGAGAAAGTATAGTGATTACAATAACGTGAAATGACATTGAAAGAACAATTAATGTCCAATACTACCAGTCAATACTAACTAGTCAATGAAAATATGGTTTATATTACATGCATATAATATGATACAAATATATATTAAATTATTGCTTGAAGAACTGAGGTCATTAGCTTGTTACTGTGGGGGAGGGTGCGGTTGGTTTGACACTAGTATGTTTGGTAAGAATTTGTCACTAAAAACCAGAGTGGTCACCCATCCGGGAACTAATGACACCGGCGATACACTCAGAACGCGTTTCGTGACTGAATTCAAACACCGCTCCAAGATATAATATATAATGTACAAAAAATAACAAAAAAATGACAAAAAATAATAATACAGAGTGATTCAATTCGTATAAGTCTTATTTTCTAGAAAAGTATTAAGGTTTTTGTAAATATTTTATTTTATTATTTATAGTCATCTCAAAACAACAGTACTTACTGAAAAAAATATCGTATCTGTTACTATTTATGATTGTTTTTTAAACGACAGAATACATTTTTAAATTAATACTACAAAACAGGATACGTTTTGGAGAATTTAAAATCTCATAGATGAGTGTATGCCATCAAGAGAAACCCATTGCATGGTAATATTACAATTTTGTTTAAAATAACCGACTAAGTAGTGACTGTAATATATGATATATATTGTAGGTCTGTTCAAAAATACTAAATTCTATTGATGATCCCCATACCAAATTTATCTTGTTATTACTTCGGAACGACTTAGCTATTTTATCATTGCACGAACCCAAACAATAGTGTAACCACTAACCAGTAACGGTAACAACGACCGTTACGGTACAGTGATGATAATATTATATAAACTTCTAAAATGCAATTCCTTTGTTCTTATAGAGATAATGCAAAATGAACAGCGAGATACCTATTGGAAGAGCGGAGAAGAATAATTTACAAAAGACAAAATCATATTACACACCGTATATACCGCTCTGACCTAACCTATCGCCACTTTCTTGTCTGGCTGTCGCACATAATGTCACACACAATTACATAAAATATAAAAAATCATCACTTCCTGGTTGAATATAATATGAATGAAAAAAAAAATAGTATAAAAAATGTAATTAAAATAACAAAGTGTATTTACGTGTAATACACACTATTATGTGTCAACGGGGGTTATAAATAATAATGTTTGAGTTCTAATAATTTACACTAAAAACTGAACTCGACAAAAATTACCAGGAATTACGATAATAATATAACGTTTTATTATTACAACATACGTTTGGAAATTTTAAACAAATGTGTTAGGTAAATTATGTTAGTGGTACTGAGAAAAAATTGAGTGTTTCATATTTTATTGACTATACCTATGTATTATACGGTTAAACATTGGTGTTGAGTACATATAACTATAGCTATTATTACAATTCTTAAGCAGAACTCGTTGTTTAGCTATTACCATAACGTCTTCTGCATTCGCTTGTTTAATATTTCGGTGTTTACCGTATGGCTTAAACGGGGTCATACAAAATTTGGATTAAAAAACTAAGGTACTGTGCAGACGGTTAGGACAATAATAATATATTAGATTAAAATTGTACGCGATCCCCTCCTGGAGTTTTGGTAACGTAAAGTTGGATGACCCCGTGGCTATTAAACGGAGACAAAAAGTAGGTGCATACTAGGGTGTCCCTTATTTAACTATAAAATTTTTTTTTTACATTTTTGTTGGTCTCACCCACTTTATTTGTGTATATGCATAAAAAAATGAACTACAAAAAGTTTCAAGTCAATCTATTAAGGTTAACCCGTGCCGACTTGAATTTGAAATTTGAGTATATTAATTCATTCATAATTTAATGATATATTTTACATTTTTATATATATCTCGATTACAATAAGGAAAATTAAAATTTGTTACATAATATGTTTTAAATATAATAAAATTGTCTATAAATTACCTTCTTACATACTTCTTCTTATTTATTATAGTTTACAAGATATATTGAATTTTGTGTACGAAAGTAATTTTTTCTTAAAATATTATTTTACATTTTTATTAATTAAAATTGTTTTTTCAATGTTTCCTTTTTACAATCAGGATATAGTCTTCTGTGTTCTTGTATACATTGTAATAGCAACTCAGACTTCTTATCATCTTTGGTTAAAGTTCCGTGAAAATCTTCCATAAGTTTAACTGCTCTTTCCGCTGTATCATTTACTACATTTAGCGAGCATGCAATTTCTTTCCCGCGTAAATAACTAATTTGATTGTCCCATGTGCTCGGATCATCATTCAAAAAGTCCGTATTAATATTAAATCGAGAAAAAAATTGCATACTATTCTTTGATATAAAAGACGCCAGTGTTTTTTCTACAAAAAAAATAATACATTATCTATTAATAACCTTACGACTTACGTAATTATATATCAAAAACTATAGTATAATATACCTGAAAAGGTTTCTCCAAGATCTTGAAATGAAACAATAAGACGCTTATAGTTGGTTGGATAATTCCATCGTTATTAAGTGACTGTACCATCAATCTTTTGATTTCGTTTGATAATGTGTCATCAAAGAAAGCTAATGCTGCTGCCTCTTCTGTTAAGTACCATAAATGATTACTAATTTTTGTTATAGCGGCTTTTGAAATTTTGGAGTGTTCATTTTCGTATTGTTTTAAACATTTTATAAAATTTAAATCATTTGCCGGTGCTCTAGCTGCTGCGGTACTGCTGAACCAAGATTTTAAATAAAATCGAACAATAAAAACACAAATATCACGAATAGCGTTTTTTTCAGAAGATGATAAAGAGTATTGATTTCGGAAAATATATATTTTTAAACAATAAATAGCTCTACTCATCCAGCGAGCTTGATGCATTGCTCCAGGTGGACGTATTTTAAATTTGTTATCTAAATTACCATTCAAAAAAGTTATAGATAGCTCAAGTAATTCTTTATAGTCATCTCTGTAACATTTATTTTGCAACATAGCTCGACAAAAGTGGAGAATATCATTTCGTACATCTTCTAAAGCAGTGCAACACTCAAGGTCGTCTATACCAGAAATTATATTTGAAATATCAATTTTATTCCAATTGTTTCGAAACTTTTTAAATAGTGGGATATCAGGACTTGTCGTTGTATGCGGAAGTACAGCTTCAAAAACGCCACGTAAAATTATTTCGTATATGTGGTGGCGACATGGTAGGTAAAGTAAGTCTCTTCCCAATTTTTGCTCCAATAAAACGCATGCACCATTAAAACGCCCTGTGTTTGAAGCGGTGGTGTCACAGCATAGAGCTTGAACAACATCTGTTACGCCCCAATTTTCTAATGCATAATATATAGCATTAGCTTGTTCTTTTCCCGTTGATTTTTCCAATTTTGGGATACCAATAAGCAAATCTAGATTATTACTGGTTAAAACAATTGGTAATCTATCAATACCTGAGTCTCTAACATTTAACGTTGGTAGTATTTTTCCATCCCAGTGTACAGTTATATAACTAGGAACAGAACTTTCAAAATTGGTTTTAATTTTATTGGCGCGTTCAACTCGTAAAGCATCACGACATCGATGTATAGACGATTTATTTATAACCAAACTATCAACATTGTTACCCAATGCTTCAGCTGTTGCTTGAATAATATAAACTGAGTCCCGTACACTTAATTTACATCGATCTAATGCAGCAACAAGCTTTGGAGTAATGAAATTTGTGCGGCCCCTTTTTTTTTCTGATAGTGTCATTGGTATACGAGTGCAATGCGTGTATTCTGAATCCGACGATGACGACGGTGAACTTAAGGACATATCAGATAATTGATTTTGAATTTCAGTTGCATTATAATTTGATAATTGAAGTTTACTATTTGTTAGCTTTTCAATTTCACTACATTTACGTTTTTTTGTTTTGTTTTCATTTTCAAGTAACTTTTTGTCTATACCACCAAGACAACCAATTCGACCAGGAAGTCTTTGGTTAATTAAAAACTGTTTGTCATCTTCAATTTTCATTATATTTAAAGCATTAACATGTGCAATATCAAATAAATTGTTCAGTTTGTTTATGAATTCTGTTTCTTTTAATTTAAATGAATCGCCTACCTTTTGTGCATTTTTTTGTAGAGCACGCCATTCTTCGTACACATTTAAAAGTTTATTAATACAATGTTGAACTGCTCGAACAGGAATTCGAGCTTTTTCCCAAAAAATATTACATTCACGAACGGCTAACGAAGCACTTTCTCTCGTATTAAGTTTTACTGTTCTCACATTATAAAAAAATACTGAAAGCACTTGTCCAATTGACGGGAGTTTTGAGCCTAGTATTTGGGTAGATGGTGACCCAATCAAAAATATTTGATCATCAGCACGTAATTTTCTAGACATATTTGCAAAATAATTACCAAAAAAAACGTAACAACAAACGACGAACACAACTTTACTAATCACGCACCGCAACGAACACGACTACACGATATTATTAATAAAAATCTATTAGACTCCTGGATCGTAATCCGTATCATTCTTATCTAGAAAAAATACGATAATATTCAACATAACGAATCGTTATGTTGAATATGTCGTTATTAACGATGTTTGTACTGTTCAAATAATCTGATGATTTCTGTAATTGTGCGCAATGTGTATTTATAAAAATTCATAATATAATTTTGAGAAAATAGTACTTTCATACTCAAAAGTCAATATATCTTGTAAACTATAATAAATAAGAAGAAGTATGTAAGAAGGTAATTTATAGACAATTTTATTATATTTAAAACATATTATGTAACAAATTTTAATTTTCCTTATTGTAATCGAGATATATATAAAAATGTAAAATATATCATTAAATTATGAATGAATTAATATACTCAAATTTCAAATTCAAGTCGGCACGGGTTAACCTTAATAGATTGACTTGAAACTTTTTGTAATTCATTTTTTCATGCATATACACAAATAAAGTGGGTGAGACCAACAAAAATGAAAAAAAAAAAATTAAGGGACACCCTAGTGCATACCTCTATATATATGGTCGCGTAGTTCTGACACGTCGTTTTCGACTTAAATAATACTATTCACTAAGTACAATAATGTAACGCGAAGAAAGGATTCCTACGACGTAGGTACAAATGCAACGAAGGTGATACATAAACTTAATTACACGCATTATGTGTGTGGTGTGAATTAATAATCCTTCATGTACAACAATTATATGTATAAATAAATTAGAAATTCCACTATATTATATTATATTCACACGACTGGTATACTGCGAAATTCACTGGCATACGCATTGGTGAGAGGGGGGGGGGTGGCTAACGGGCTGAAGCCCTCCCCGTTGCTCGTATCATTATTAATTTTTTTTAACAATATTTATCTTGTTTCGACTGTAGCAATAACTAGTAAGAAAGGACGTAAATTCATATACGTCTTACCGGATTAGCTGTAGCCAACATAAATAAAAAATGGGAATGTGAGTATCGCTCTGCTGTAAAGTAAGTATCGAGTGGTCACAGTGATGTATGCGTGTATTAAATTTGAACTCAACGATATTATAATGTCATTTTTTACGAAAATCGATTCTGATCGGAGACGAAAACGTGTCAGACTAGGATATTTCATATTAGAGTATATTAATATCACTTTTAGTAACAATATAGATACCTAGTTTGAACTCATTTCTGCAAAAACATTGTTTATGCATAGGTACCAATTTTCCTAAAGTGATCAATACCTACTTGTAACATAAATATTATGTTTCTGGGCTGGATACACGACGTTTTTTGTTTCTGACCGATTTTTCGAAAGGTTTTCGTTATTATAGTTACTCATTAAAAACACATTTATGTGGTTTATACATTTTTTTTTTAGAGGAAAAATAAGGAGTAGTTTGTATACGTAACCTAACCTACCTATATGAGAGATCTCGTATTACATTTTCAAACCTTAGCTATACAAATTTAACATTTGATACATTTTTAACTAAAAATTAATTATGGTTTTGTCAACGTTGATTTTATAGAAAATAATTGTGTCTACAAGTCTACATATTATCGTTAATATTTTTAAAAATCTATAGTAAAACGTATGATGAACATTGTATTAATTTATTTTTTTTTGACCGGACGAATAATTTTTGTTAACATTTTTAGAAAACAAAAACTAAAATCAATCAAGGAGAATCTAAGCGCGAAGACGGTCTAACCAAAGTTATTAAACAGTTTTTTCAATAATAATAATACAACTGAGAATTTTTAATTTCAACATCCCATAAATAGCAAATAAATTGGTGCCCTCCAATCTTCATTGGAGTTAAAGTTGTGCAAACATTTTAAAATACCTCACCTAAACGTCTGGAATTATTAGACTGGACAAAACAAATTGTAAATATTAATTCATTTTCAAGCCCCCTCCCCACACCCGTTAAAAAGCTTGCGTACGTCATTGATGTGAATTGAAAATAAATGTCTCTAAAATCGTTAGAAGAATGTACATTATGCATAATAATACTATGCATAATATAATATGTTATATGCTTTATAAAATTCTATACACTTTAGAGGCTTGAAAATGTATAATATTTTAATCTCGAGTCTTCATCTAAAATATAGTAAACACATGATATGGGATTAAGTACCGAGGTTTTACGTTCAGAGTGAGTGAACAAACAAAATTAATGCAAGACTCAAATCTCCAAACACTATGAGTATTTCCCTAGTGTCATTTGTCATTTCTTGACACGTGGGATGTTCAATGCATTTAATGCTATTAATCACTCTTAAAATCATAACTTCCATAATTCCTCAGATATTTAAAGATAAAAAAAAAAACTTAAATTATTTATACAATAAATACAAAAATACAAGTGAAATTATAAGAAAAAAATTTACCAATTTAACGGTGGGTATTATAATTTCAATATAGTAATTACAATTTAATATATACCTAGAAGTTACATTTTAATTTACTACTATAATAATATATTTTATAATAATGCTACCATCAAACCTTAATATGCAGTCTAAAAGATAATTTATTGGAATTAAAGTTTTACAAGAAAAAATAATACGTGGTTATTTAAGTTTTTGAATGTAAATAGAAATCAATACGATTTTATTGATATTATCGTTTATTATAAATACTAGCATAAATATATTTTATTTTATATAATTATTTTCGTATTTAAATATGGATTTGAAATAATCGTAATGGCGATACAAAAATTATTCAAAACATATTATTATAAACACACTTTAATTGAAAATAATCTGAAAAACACATTAAGGTCGTGTTGTTTAACAAACAAAATAATATAGTACAAACCAAGTTGATTCGTTGAAACTAATTTGCCTTCCGGTATTGTGCTCCTGTTTGGCACACCTCCCAAGATACATTGCTGTAGTGTCCTAGCAATTAAAAGTTTCTTATAGTTAATAGTTAACTGAATATTCTACCTATTCTGCTGGTGTTGAAAATATTAGAAATGTTTTTTTTTGTTAGTTTGATGTTAAACGTATAATGTATATTGTATGCACGTGTTTTTGTTAAAATTTTAATAAAAAAAAAGGATAAGCAAGTGACCGCTCTGCGGTAGAGTAGATAAGTAATTTTTGACGAAAACATTACATTTATTATATAATATTAATATTTAATAAATTATTACAATAGTATACTTTTCTATCATATTGTATTATTAACTTTGGGGATCATTTTTATTTTTTTATATTACATCAAAATAAATAAAACCATTATTCTTCGTTTAAATATTTAATTTCGTCCAAATATAAATGCCTATAAAAAAATTGTTTATATGTTTTTAGATTTTTAATGGTTCCAGTATCAATTACTCGTAGAAGCTTGTATTAAATTTCTAAGCCATATTAATAAAAATTGAACGATTATAATAATTTGCAATTTATATTGTAATACTATCGTGATTTTAATGAATTGTTTTTTAAATTTCTAATAAAATAAAAATTGTGTCTATGAATATTTAATATTATTAAATAGCTATCACGATACATTATGAGGTGAATTAATGAGCTTTTTAACGAGCAAAAATATTTTTATCGGTATTTATAGGAAAAAAAAAACTAAAAAATATCGTAAATGTCAAACGTCTATCAATATCCAAAAAGTGTCAAAATATATTGAAAATTTACCGTGTATGGGAAATGTTGATGGAAACATTTTGTGAAAATGTCAAGTACCTATACCTATCTAAAGTTATTAATTTTTGAATCACGACAAAACAAGAATATCGATTTTATCGAAAACAAGTTTTGCGTAAAAATGCGGGCTTTTCTCTAACTTTGTTTTATTTTTCCCAATATTTTATAATGTGCTGACAATTTTTGATTTTTACCAGCCAAAAGTACAGACTATAGATTCCCTCTCCTGTTAGAAAATATATTGATGGTGATGATCGAAGCATTTTTTTTCTATTTACTATTTACTGTTTAAAATTATCTGCAAATACATCTAAATACTCACGCGAGTGAATACAATTATGTCATATTACATTTTTATGTAGGTAAAAACATAGACACACAATTCAATAACATTGTACATTAATCTTACATACATCGTTTACACTAGGCAATATGAAATAAAATCACTAATCAGTCTTATATTATGACATCAGGACGCCTAAACATGTATGCACAACCAGGGTATCCTATATATCTTATAAAATATACGCTTACTAATTTATTATACCGTTTAACCATAGACATAATAAGATATGGACTGCTACTCCCCCACACCCTGCCTTAAGCTTATTGAAATAAGATTGTTCGAAA